GGAAACACACAACTAAAAGATGTAGGGTGCCTGGGTGGCTCAGTCATTAAGCATCTGCCTTCAGCTCAGGTCATGGTCCTAAGGTCCTGGGTTCAAGCCCCACATCGGGCTTCCTGCTGCGCAGGAAGCCTGCTTCTCCCTCTCCCACTCTCCTGGCTTTGTTCCCTCTCTCACTGTCTCTCTCTCTCTGTCAAATAAATAAAATCTTAAAAAAAAAAAGAAACTAAAAGATGTAAAATAAGGCATCCCACTTTTTATACTCACACACATACCAAATTTATATCCATCCTGGGACAGCAATAGAATGGAGAAGAACCCCCAGTACTTTGCACCCCCATGGAGACAAAAATGGACCAAATTACCTTTTAGATGGCTCCAGAAGCCAGTTAGGAGAACACAGGACCCCGAGGTAAGTACAAATGAACAAGAGACATCGAAGAGACAAGGAAAGTTTGTGACACTTGCCCACAACCCTGTTCACCCTCTCTGACACTCCACAGCAACACAGAGAAAAGTCCTACCTCTCCTCAGGAGAGAAACAGATGAGTGACCTGTAGCTTCAGTGACCTAGCCAGGTCCTTTTCACCTGCCTGACATGGAAAACAGAGGGAATGAGAGCACCCTCTGGATGCAGTGTGCTGGCTGCTCAGACAGAAGGTTAAGCACTTGCTCAACAATGAAGAGACTACAGAGCTTAAGGCAAAGAGAGAGGAAGGTATCATGCGTTCTAGAGTAGTAGTAACTGCTCTTTCTTAAACTGGGAAATTACACAAAGGCAGACATGACAAATGCCTAGAACATGTGTGGCAGAACCCAGAATTGCTTTTATTTGTGTACTCGTCAAGAATCCAAGTCCATAATCCTGGGCCCACAGGCCCGAAAAAACCACACAAAGATCAGAAGGCATATGAAGAAATAGGAAAATATGTTCCAATTAGAGAAACAAAATCAGTCTCCAAAACTGCCCTATGTTAATAAAGAGCCATACGTTGCCGAAAATATATATATATATTTTGTCTGTCAAAGAATTCAAATTACCATCATAAAGATGCTCAGGGAGGAAGAAGAGCAAATAGATAGGTAACTACATGTTATCAGGAAAACTATGCATGACCGAAACGTAAACCCAATGTGACAGAAAGTATAACATCCATGGACCAGAAACTGGGAGCTGAAGAGTACAATTACTGAATTTAAAAATACACTAAGGGATCAGCAACAGACTTGATGAAGCAGAACAAAGAATCAGATCTCTTAAAGTCACCTTTTCTAAATTCTCTACTGAGAGGAGCCAAGAAATATGTGAAAAGGATGGAGTCTAAGGGACTCATGGGACCCCGACAAGTGGTCCAATATGCACATTAAGGGGACCTCATAAGGAGAGGAGAGTGACCTATGTGGAAAAAAGACACAAATTCAAGCTCAGTAAATTCTAAGTAGGATAAATGTCAAGACATGAACCCAGTGACACGTTGTAATTAACCTAGCAAATACAGGTGAAGAGAGACTTTTGAAACAGCATGACAAATGCAACTTATCTTGTACAAGAGAGCTCCTAGGAAATTTAGTAGTGGGATTCTCAGCAAACCCAATATGAAGAGGGGCATGGCATAATGTACTCAGGTACTGAAGGATGAAAAAATAGCCACCAAGAATACTTTACCTGGCAAAACTGCTTTCCACAGATGTAGAAATGAAGACTTTCCCAAGTAAAATCCCCTCTAAGTTTACCAGCAGGCCTGTCCTACAAGAAACGTTAAAGGAACACTCTCTAGATGAAATAAAAGGATTCTACAAAGTAACTGAAACGACATGAGAACATAAAGCTCTCTGCTAAACATACTTAGACACTTATACAAACCTGTAGTGTTGTAATTCGATACCACTCATGTTTATTTCTGCTACGGAATAATGTTTTTAAAAAAAGTATAGGGCGCCTGGGTGGCTCAGTTGGTTAAGCGACTGCCTTCGGCTCAGGTCATGGTCCTGGAGTCCCGGGATCGAGTCCCACATCGAGCTCCCTGCTCAGCAGGGAGTCTGCTTCTCCCTCTGACCCTCTTCCCTCTTGTGCTCTCTGTCTCTCATTCTCTCCCTCTCAAATAAATAAATAAAATCTTAAAAAAAAAAATTTGTAAAAAAAGTATAAAAATCTCAGGGTAGGAAATAAAGTACACAACATAAAAATTTATGATATCGGTAACAAAGTGGGTGCAGGGGTGGACATAGGAAGAAGAGTTTTGTATGCAAGTGACAATATGAGTTTTAAATGTTTTTTTTTAACTCTAAGTTGTGTTAAGGAATTGCCAAGGTAAGCACAATGAAAATACTCACAGAAGACACAAAAGTTAATGAGAAAGGTACCAAGGCATATCATGGGCATAACACAAGTAAGGATAAAATATAATACCAAAACCTGATAAGAGATATAAATGTTTCAAAATTACTTTGAATTCAAAAAAGTCTTTCTCTCATGCAAAGAGAATAAAAATTCACCAACAAGGGCGCCTGGGTGGCTCAGTTGGTTAGGCGACTGCCTTCGGCTCAGGTCATGATCCTGGAGTCCCGGGATCGAGTCCCGCATCGGGCTCCCTGCTCAGCAGGGAGTCTGCTTCTCCCTCTGACCCTCTTCCCTCTCGTGCTCTGTCTCTCATTCTTTCTCAAATAAATAAATAAAATCTTTAAAAAAAAATTCACCAACAAATACATGATGAAATTAATTCTGTTTGTGACAGCTCACCTAGACACAATAAACATTCACTGACCACACACCAAGGAGACAAACAGTAGGACTCATAAACAGAGTATGTATGTGTGATATACAAATACAAGACAAATACACACAATTTTATGGCAAAAAGCTTTATGGCAAAAAGCAGAAAGCTCATTCTTTTGAGTTATACTCACATGGTCTTGAAATGGACTGCGTTGAGAATTCTCCTAAAACAAAGTACACAGGTAAAACCCAATCCACAACTAACTAATGTTGTGGAATGTCCCAGACAAACGGGCACATTATTATGGAATTACTGAACCAGAATAAGATAAAATTTAACCCAAGAAATTCTAAATAAAAAATTGACGTATTACATAAAAGAAAAACATCTATATAACTATAATTTAAACTGTGTTCATATCATGAAAAATAAGCATTTGATTGGCATGTCTTCATTGACCATAAAATTGTAATTATTCATTAAAATCATTAAAAGCTGTAAATGAAAATTTTATCAACACTTAAAAAGCTTGAAAGAAATGTATTTCGTTATTAATATATTCCTGCTCCTACACAGAATGTAAGGCTATAATCCACTCTTTAAGACAGAGGACACAGGGTGCCTGGGTGGCTCAGTTGGTTAAGCGACTGCCTTTGGCTCAGGTCATGATCCTGGAGTCCAGGGATCGAGTCCCACATCGGGCTCCCTGCTCAGCAGGGAGTCTGCTTCTCCCTCTGACCCCCTTCCCTCTCGTGCTATCATTCTCTCTCTCTCAAATAAATAAATAAAATCTTTAAAAAAAAAAAAAAAAGACAGAGGACACAAACAACATCTTCATTTCTAAATAAACAAACATCACGAAAGTTGTAAAATATGCTGACAAGACACTGTATCTGAAATTAATACTTGGGATTAAATTCTGATACATTCTTTTTTTTTTTTTAAGATTTTATTTACTTATTCATAAGAGACAGAGAGAGAGAGAGGCAGAGGGAGAAGCAGGCTCCCCGCTGAGCAGGGAGCCCATGCGGGACTCGATCCCAGGACCCTGGAATCATGACCTGAGCAGAAGGCAGACGCTTAACCATCTGAGCCACCCAGGCACCCTAACTTCTGATACATTTTGAGGAAAGTAGAAGAAAAGCCTAATCATTAAATTCCCATGAAGTAAAATTACATTACTGAACAAAAGGATTTTTGAAATATGGGGGTTTGGGGTGCCTGGGTGGCTCAGTCAGTTAAGCGTCTGCTTTCCGCTCAGGTCAGGAACTCAGGGTCCTGGGATCCAGCTGCACATCGGGCTCCCTGCTCAGCAGGGAGTCTGCTTCTCCCTCTCCTTTTGCCCTTCCCCTGCTCATTCTCTCTCTCTCTCTCTCTCTCTCTCTCTATCTCTCTCTGTCTCGCACAAATAAATCTTTTAAAAATCTCATATTAACTAATTAGAAATTGAAAACACACGACAAAGTCACAAGAACTTCTTATAACACAGAATTATAAAATGATGTGATTATTAACAAATAAGGTAATCATTGAAACTTTATTAAAGGCTACAAGTTCTGAGTTCTAAATGTGCTAGTTCCACAGTAGCTTTATTTATGTAGGAATTCTAGGAAACAAATAGAGACATTACATTATTTCACCATTGAGGAATGGAACTCATAGAGTGGAAACCTCTACATTAGTTAATATGAAAAAGAATGAACTTTTGAAGGGAAATAAAAGAGTACATTTTCTCATTTTAGGGAGGTGCTTTGTTATCTGATGAAGTTACTGAGTCTCAATTTTACAAGATTAAGATTAAAGCCTCCGTAACATCGGAAAGCGTAAACCAGAAAACATTAGAAATCTGCCTCCAGTGTTCCAGGAATTTCTCCACCAAACCCCAATGTGCATACAACTACCCTGGCTTACTCCTCCCATGAGGAAAAATAGAGTTTACCAAGGGCTTAGCATGGAGTTCTCAGAAATAGGATGATTTTCCCAGGGCCCTCACAGCTGTGGAGAAGCTCGCAGACTATGGAGGCCCTCCCACTCCCAGGAGAGTCCCCTGGCCCTCCCTGTGGATGTGACGGACCATCACTGGAGCGGAAGGAGAATCCCTAGAGAATGTAAGAGCTTGATAATGTTGGATAGCAGATGTCCCTCTGTGAGAGAGAGAGAAATAAAACTGGGCGTCTCCAGCTGATTTTCATTCAAGGAGAGCTACTCGAACCACACCTTAAGGTCCACCTTCCTCCTTCAACTTGGACCTCCCCCCTGTCATCTGCCTCATCCATTCCCACCTACCTGGATGGAAGGCCACAGTCTCCTTTCTCTTCACGTCCCAGAGCTGCTTCTCTTGCTCCAAAAACATCATCAGGTCTGGCTTTGACAGAACGAGACCTGTTTATAAGGAAAAAGGAAAATGAGTATTGCTGTAGATTCTAACTTTCCATCAGGATTGTGTTCAGTACAGAAAAGAGGACATTGTAGAATTCTAGAAAATGGTTTCCCAAAAGCTGTTGCCCAACAGGCCCTTTAGAACACACAGGAGGGGCGCCTGGGTGGCTCATTCGTTAAGCGTCTGCCTTCGGGCGCAAGTCACGATCCCAGGGTCGTGGGATCGAGCCCTGCATCGGGCTCCCTGCTCAGCGGGAAGCCTGTTTCTCCCTCTCCCTCTCCCTCTCCCCCTGCTTGCGTTCCTGTTCTCGCTGTGTCTGTCTCTGTCAAATAAATAAGTAAAATCTTTAGAAAAAAAAAAAAAGCCGGCGTGTTAACATAATAAAAAATTTAAAGAAAAAAAAATTTAAAAAAACAATACACAGGAGAAATTTCCAATGTTCACATCCTAATCTCTACTTCCAAGTAGAAGACATAAGAACTGGAAATGTCAGTTTAAGATGTGAGCAGTATCATTCTATGCCACTAAGTGTTTAGAACTGCCACTCATCTACAGAAGTGATGATGTTACCTTGAGGAAGGGGAAGCTAAGACTGAAAAGGACACATCGTGAAGGTGTTTCTCTACATCTATAAACCCCTACTTATTTCCCTTTCTGCCTCGATCTGAATTCCAGTCATTCAAAGAGGAATCATCCAAGAGACAGTCTTCAAAGGAAGGAACAAAACCCTGAGTGTGGTCTGGGAAATCTGGAAGGAGTCATCCTCACCCAGGAAGAGGAGGTGTCCGTAGTTCTCTAACATCACATCCCTGTACAGTTGCCGCTGAGTGTGGGTCAGGCATCCCCACTCCTCCTGGGAGAACTCTATGGCCACATCCCTGAATGTCAGCAGTGCCTGCAATAAACACCACAGTGACCGAGTGCCCATTGGTAGGGTTCACAATGGTCCCTAAGATGAAAGAGGGAGTTAGTGTCACCACCTAGAACCAGACCTGACCTTTCCTGCTCTGTGACGTGAGCGCGGAGTAAAAGAAAAACCTGCGGGATGGCGGGCTGACCGATGGGAAAGTCTCGCTCCCAGAAGTCAACTGTATCAACTACACAGAGGTGAGCGCCCTCCTCGTCAGTGCAAACTGTTGGGATGTGGGAACGGAGCCAAAGGTGAAGAAAGAATTCTTGAGATGTTTCTGATGGAAATGTTGGGGTTCAGGAATGAATGATGAAGAAAGAATTGTTGAGATAGCGTGGTGCAAAAAACGGAGTCTTAAGGTTCGGGGAGAGGACCTGTGGGTAGAAAGAGCTGAACTGAAGTTGTGAGCAGTGACTGATCATATGCTTTCAAGTGCAGAGGGGGCGAGGGATAGCACAAGGCTCTCAGGAATTTGGAAGCAAGTCTCCAGGACCATGAGGGCCTAGCTGGTGTTATGAGGAGGTCACCTACTGTCTAGTAACACTTTAGTCAAGAGACCCTTCAGATACTTTTCAGTGGGCCATATGCTTGAAGGAGGATGGCCAACATCTATTGGGTGGTAAAGATAGAGGACATCTCCAAAGGGACTTTCCTATGTTAAAGAGAAATGACAGGATCCTGGAGGTCTGGCTATTGTCAAGCTAAGGCTGTTTTTTGCTTCCAACAAAACATTAACACTGAGGCACTTGTGAATTCCTGAGAAATGTCATCCTCCGCCTATCTCTGGTATTTATCAACGGATTGGAAGTTGAAGGAAATTTAATTTTGTCCACCCTTCTTTTGACTTTGTTCTCCTCATCAGAAACTACAAGGAAGGGGCACCTGGACGGCTCAGCTGACCAAGGGTCTCTCTTCAGCTCGGGTCATGATCCCAGGCTCCTGGGACTGAGCCCTGAGTTCGGCTCCCCACTCAGTGCGGAATCTGCTTCTCCCTCTTCCCCCTTTGGTCATCCCTGTGCTCTCTCGCTCTCTCAAAATGAAAATGTTTTCTAGCGAGAAAAACAGAAGTTTACATCTGAAATGTAATAGTTTTATGCATGTTGCTCAGTATATTTTGTTCCTTACAAATGACAAGAGGGAAAATATGAACATTACAGGGGAGGAATCTGGCAGAGACCACCAAGCCAGTAAAAGAAGTTAACAGCAGCTGCATGGAAAGAAATTGGTATCGGTCCCTAAGGCACATCAAGGACACACCATCACTGGTATTTTCCTGTGGTCTGAAAACAGTAGTTCAGAATATCATCTAATTATGAAAATACAATGGAGATATATATATATATACACACACACTCCAATCACCTATAGTTTCTGTACAGGCTGCTTTTAGGCAAGCGGGCTTGAGCAAAGGAATGGAGAAAGGGCCCACAGCGACCCCTTGGCTGAGTCCAGACGGGCCCAACAGGGGACCCACCTCACAACAGCCACAGGCCCTAACCAACCAATGGGCTTCTGACAACCGGGGACATAGACCAAAAAAGGGGAAAGTTCCAAATGTCGCCATAACTCCTCACCTTCCCTTTTTAAGAAAACCCCCCACCCACTGCTCCTTGCAGACAGCCTATCCTCTGCTCTCCTGCCTGGTGCTCTTTTGCAGTGTATTCAATAAACTTCTATAGCCTTTATTCAGCCTCAGGTGAATTCTCTTCAGTGCCCACTTGACTGGCTTCCACCCATTGACCCACGTTTGGGGCTCCCATCTGACTGACTGAGACACCACAAAGTCCATGTGCTGTAATAGCTAGTTTATTCCATTTTTTTATTTTAATTTTTAAAGATTTATTTATATATTTTTTTAAGACTGTATTTATTGAAACGCCTGGGTGACTCAGTTGGGCATCAGCCTTTGGCTCAGGCCATGATCCCAATGTCCTGGGATCACATCCTGCATGGGGACCCTTACTCAGCAGGGAGCCTGCTTCTCCCTCTGCCTGCAGTTCCCCCTGCTTGTGCTCGCTCTTTTTCTGACAAAGAAATTAAATTAAAAAAAAAGATTGTATTTTTTTATGTGAAAGAGAGAGAAAACACAAGGAGGCAGAGCGGCAGGCGGAAGGAGAGGGAGAAGCAGGCTCCCCACCCATCGGGGAGCCGATGTGGGGCTCGATCCCAGAATCCTGAGATCACGACCTGAGCTCAAGGCAGAAGGCGGACTCTTAAACGATCGAGCCACCCTGGGGCCCAAGACTTTTTTTCTATTTTAGAGGAGATGGGGAGGGGCAGGAGAGGGAGAAAGAATCTCAAGCGGACTCCCCTCTGAGCACAGCGCCAGAAGCGGGATACCGTTCTAGGACCCCGAGATCCCGACCTGAGCTGAAATCAACAGTCCAAGCTTAGCCAACTGAGACAGCGGGGGAACCTCTAGTGCATTTGAACAGAATACCTTTTTCACATTCTAAAGACCAAGACTCTCCCACCCCCTTTTTTAGAATGAGAACTTTCCAAGTTATTCTGGACCTCATACCCATCTGGTATGGTATATTGGTGCATTTTCTTATTGCTGGGCTACAGAGAGCTGATCAAGCATCCGGACGGGACCTAAATGAGAAATGTTTTCCCTCCCTGATGGCCCAGGACCAGACCTCATCAACAACGGGAATGTTGGACTCAAAGCCGTCCCCTCTGGGTCTGCCACCAAGGGAGTATTTTCAATACTTGCAGGACTTTAATCCAAGGTAACAACTGTTGATGCCCTCCTGGAAGCCAGGTTGGAGACACAGGAGAGAAGGCTCTGGGAATATAGAGTATTCTAAAGACCTAACCTTGAGTATCACTTCTGAAAAGATCTTAAAAATAGGTGAAAACATAAGGGAGAAACATCAAACTAGAGGAATCAACATTTGACATTTCTCTTTCTTTTTTTAGTAACACATAATGTATTATTTGTTTCAGAGGTACAGGTCTGTGATTCATCAGTCTTACACAATTCACAGCGCTCACCATAGCACATACCCTCCCCAGTGTCCATCACTCAGCCACCCCATACCATTTGGAAATTTCTAAATGCAAGGAATCTAAGGAGAAAAAGATGACATAGCCTTTCCTGGGACACCAGGCTTACCTGAGAACTGGTCATTTCTTCTTTCACCTCAACCTCTAGATTTCTTTCTCACAAGATGTTTGTGGAGAAATCACAGCCGCATCAGGAGAAAAATCCCCTTAAAACCGCCTAAAAAGCTTCCTCACCTGATACTGCTAACCTGCAGACAGGACTTTGAAATGCAGAAAAGGCCTAACTTCCTAGTCCTTTGTGTCAGGAGCTATTCAGAAACTGTGAGCACCTACTTGGGAACCAATCCCTGACTTTTCCTTAACTGCTTTCCGGGGGCGGGGTGGGGAGGGAGCATTCCCTCCCACAGCCCCCACAAATTCAGCTACAGCCTAGGAACCTTGTACTGCATGAACCTAAGCCTCCCTGGCTCACGTAGCAGAGACCCTGTTAACCTCTCCTTGAGCCAAAGCCTGCTCTCAATGCTCATAAAATAACCTGAAGCCCTCGTGTTTAACCCTGGCCTCACTTAGAATCACCTGGAGCCCTTAATGAATACAACACAGGTGTTTTCGCCCAAAGCAACGGACAGAATCTGAGCTGAGGCCACTAGCGATGATCCTTTTTTGAAACTCCACAGGTGGTTCTACTGGGAAGTAGCTGGGGAGGTGACCACGCCCAGCACAGCCATGCCTTCCCCACTGATCAGACTTTCTGGAGATTAACACATTCTCCCTCTTTCTGCTACACAGAGGGAGACTCCTTACAAATGGAGCTTTCCCTTATAAACGCAAATATCTCTTTGGAAAGTAAACACGATTTCAGAGTCGTTCCTTTATCTGCCTTTTACTTAAAATAACCAGCCTAAAATAATGCTTAGGCCAAAGAGACATATTTTAGGTTTTCCAAAATGATTGTACTCTTTACCGTCTCATCAGCGATATAGGAGAATTCTAATTCTCAACATTCCCAGGAAAATTTGGTTTTATCCTTTTTCTTTATTTCACCCATTCTAGAAAACATTGAGTGGTTTCTCACCATAAAATATGAAGTGTTCTTAAAACAGTTGTCCTGGTGACTGAAATGAAAACCACTTTAAAGCATCAAGTTTAACAAGGAAAAAAGCGGCTAGGTTAATGCTTCAGCAAGACGCCGTTTCAACTAAGTAACCTTTCTCTTCTCCTCCACAAACCTCTTCTCCTCACTTCTCAGGTCTTTGTTTCGGGAACCTGGTTCCACCCTGACAACGTGATTGAACAGGGCTGGCAGCGACACAGTTCCTGTGGAAACGGGCTAGATCCTGCATTTCCCTACAAAACCCCAGCCCCTTCCTCTGGGTGGGCTTGCAGTTTCCGAAGACCCTGACCTGCTGCAGCCTCCTTTGGTGACAAAGCAATAAAACTATTGTTCCTCTTTATCCCCCGCTCTGGGTTCCTGTTATATTCTGGGTCTGAAGCAGGGAGGTCAGTTTATACAACAGAATGAATGTTAGGAGAGGAACCCATGTTTTCCTCACTCCATTCTCAATTCTTTGGGCTGTCTAATAATTAAAATGATATGAAACAGATTCACAAGAGAAAAAAAAATAATTTCTTAATTATGGGAACCTGAAAGACCTGAGGCTCAAAGACAGGCGATTGAAGCTTCCATGCCACCGTGACTTAAGATGACGTAGGGATTTGCAATTTGAAAACAGGGGCCATATATTCATAGGAGAATGGGAAGAGGAAATCTAATCAAACAATGCTTTGCCCCTCCAGGCAGGCAACTCTTGATATAAAAAGTTAATCTCTGGTATCAGCTCTCTCCCTGATATAGGTCCCCCATCTAATTGATTCTTGGTGTATATATCATCCTGAAAACAGAAGGCAATAATTCCATTGCAGCCACAGAACAAACCCAGGAGACATTTTTTTTAAAGCCATATTGAAGCCCTGCCTGGGCCCCTCTGGCCATCTTTGTAGTCCTTAAATTTCAGAGTGCACATCTAGCCTGTGTGAGTGATGAACGATACCGTCCTTTGTACATTTATACATCATGAATTGTTTCCTAGAAGGAGTGGTAATCACACCTTCTGTGTGAAGCACCCATGACCAACCTCCAAGCACCTCCATGACGTCTGTAGGTGGCACCAGTGAGTCTGCAGGCAATCAAGAAGTGTTTCAGACTGGCCTGCT